CCCCCGTACTTAAGGGCAAGCACAGTCTAAACAATAGCATAATTTGCCCGTCCCAAAGCGAGTGCACATAATCCACAGGAGCCCCAAAATGGTGAGTAAGCACAGGGTCAAGCATGACTGATTGTTTCATGGCTGTGCTGTCCTCTGGGTTTCTGTGCCTTGGGGACAGCCAACAGTGGCAGGGGGCTCTATACTGAACACTGTCCCCACATTTTCCACAGGAGTTCATCTTGGAAGATATCTCGCTGCTGAGGGTGACCTGGGAAGCAAGGGAGGGTCTTCTGCCACTATGCAGATTCCGCCCTGTCCCATATGCAGCTTGCCTGTGTGCAACAATGGTCCCCCCTGCCCCTCACGGCACAGTGGCTTGGATAAGTTAGCCTTACTGGGACAAGGAACACGGTGGCTCTCCCGAGAAATCTGCGCAAGCGCATTGCCCAAGTTCTGGATGAGACCTTTGAAGAGATCACTGAGGCCAGTTACCGCGATGTGAGAGGGCACGTCAATGCCCTATTCCGCATCTAGGCGTGCATTCAGCCCTAACCCTCCTCGCCCCAAGAGCCCGCACCAAATAACTTACTTCCCAAATTAAAAGCCGCTTACCGGGAACCTCCTCTGGTGTTTGTCCTTCCCCCAGCACTGGCTGCCACGACTGGCTACCTTCTTCCTGGCTCCTGACTGCGTTCATCTAGGGATTCCGGGGTGTCTTCCTCCACCTCAGCACCCTCGCTCCCACTTTTCTGCTCCTCCTCCTCCTGCCTTGTTGAACTGGGCTCTGAAGTGTCCATAGTGGTACTCGGAGTGGAGGTGGGGTCGGCCCCAAGTATCACGTCCAGCTCTTTGTAGAAATGGCAAGTCGCAGAGGCAGCACCGGAGCAGCTGTTTTCCTCGCGGGCTTTGCTGTAGGCATTCCACAGCTCCTTCACTTTAATCCTGCACTGCAGTGTGTCCCGCTCATGGCCCCTTTCTGTCATGTCCCTTGATATCTGCCCGAAGGTATTGTAATTCCTACGGCTGGAGCTCAGCTGGGACTGGACAGCTTCCTCCCCCCAAACACTGATGAGGTCCAGCACCTCACCATTGCTCCATACTGGGGGATCGCCTGGCGCGTGGAGGCATGGTCACCTGGAAAGATTCACCAAGAGCACTCCACGCCTGGCTGAGCAAACAGGAAGGGGATTTTCAAAATTCCCAGAGAATTTAAAGGGCGTGTCTGACGGTTGGTCACCTGAGGGCAGGGCAGTAGAGTTCAAAGTGATGACCAGAGTGGCTAGCACAGGCATTGTGGGACACTTCTGGAGGCCTATCAGAGTGCACTAACAGACCAGGGCGTCCACGCTGGCGCCGCAGTGTGGACAGGTAGTGAGCTAGTGTGCCCTGGGCTCCTTTAATGCGCTGTAACTCACAAGTGTAGCCAAGCCCTTAGGTTGGGCACCTAAATTAGAGGCTACTCTATATGAAAAGTTGGTCCATAAGCCTCTCAGCATGAGGTAACTTCCATGAGGTAAAATCCTAGTGAAGACAAGGCAGTTTGTAGTTTTTCAAACAAGTTAGCAGGTCAACTTAAAGGCTATGTTTTCACTGCCAAAAAAAGTGTGGGGAAGCGGGTTAGAGTGAGTTATTTTGCTGTAAGATGCCACTCCTTTCTGTCAGAGAAGACATAGCCATAGACCGGGAGGGAGCTTAGGTGCTAAGTCATGTGAGAAACTGCAGCCTACCTTATCTTCACCACCCCTTAACTAACTCAAATTAAGAGCATACCTTTTTTCCTAGTGAAGATACAGCATAGGGTTGTGGCCTTTCAGTTCTTAGTCCCTGTTCTGAGACCTCTAACAAAGGAACCTGTTGCTAGGAGCCTTTGATGTGAACACCTGCCTCCTAGGAGCAGAACTGAGGCCCTAACTCATTTCACAGGTGTCATTTGCTAATGTGACCGACGCTCTGTATCCTGTCACAAGTTTCCTGAGGCATTCAGTTCCATGACCTGTGTTCTTTGTCTTCCTGAGCTCCCTTTTTAATAGTGCTGTGATGGGTGCATAGCAAGAAAGGTACTATACTTTTCAACTAGCACTCGACTGAATTTGGGCCAAAAGCACAATGATTGCTGAATGAGCAATGCAGCAAAATTGTATTTGGAAGAAAAAGTGCTGTTCTAGTTAACCAGTTTAAACTCTCAGCCGGTGCCTGCTAAATAGGAAAGAGGATAATGGAAAATGTTTCTAAGCTGGGTTCATGTAACTGAAGTTGTTTTCTTGTGGCTTTGGCTGTGATGGAGAGTTGTGCACTGTTTGAGTACATCGTCTTCACATTAGATTGGAACTGACAAAGTGTGACATTGAGCACTAAAATCCAGCTGCCAGACAAACGTTGCCAATGCTCAGCTAGGGATAGATCTGTTTTGATGTCCATTTAATGGGCACTCAGTGAACAAACTTAGGGTTTTTTTTTTGTGAATGTTTTGTAAACCAAAGGCTTAACCACAATCTCCTCCCCATCTTCCTCCAAACATTTTCTCAAACTTGCAAGCCAGTATGCTGTGGAAGTAATTTCCAGGAAGTAATTCCCAGCTCGTGTGTCACTGTCTTAGGAAGGTCACTAAAGGCAGTTCTACGCTACCGTAGGGATCAATGCTCTGAGATCGTTACGCTGGCGGTTGATTTAGCGGGTCTAGTAAAGACCTGCCAGGTCATCTGCAGATCGCTCTCCAGTCAATCTCTGTACTCTACCCTGGACAAGAAGAGTAAGGTAAGTTGATGGGAGATTTTCTCTCGTTGACCCCCCGGAGTGTAGACCCCATGGTAACTCGACTTAAGGTATGTCGACTCCAGCTACGTTATTCACGTAGCTGGAGTTGCATAGCATAGGTTGACTTACCATGGTAGTGTAGACATAGTCTGAGTGGTCACTGCCTTTCTTCTCCTTAAGATGGGTTTTTAAAAAAAAAAAAAACTGCTTGGTATTCTGCGGCCTAATCATAGCTCTGCTAACACATTCAGTTGTTTTATCTGTGCAACTAGATGCCGTCATAACTTTTTCACAGTCATTCTTTTTTAAAGGGGAGTGAGTGTTTTATCTCAAGCACTTGATTTGAAATGTTAACAGGAATAGCTGGTGAGGTGAGCAAAGGTGTAAGGGCCAGATTTTCAAATATGTTCCATCCACTCCCATTGAAAAAATTTCCTTTTTTTTAAATGGGAAAAGGCAACTGTAAAAGGAATTTGGCAGAAGGACCAGAAATTATCTGAAGCTTTTTTGAAGTCAACTTGATAATTATAGTACTTTCTCAGCTGAATTAATGTCATAGAATCATAGAATATCAGGGTTGGAAGGGACCTCAGGAGGTCATCTAGTCCAACCCCTTACTCAAAGCAGGACCAATCCCCAACTCAATCATCCAATATGCTTTAGGCATAAAATAACTTGAGGAGTCTGGCTAACTAAGGCTAAGTCTTCACTGCAAAAAAAAAAACTGCATTTTTTTTTTTTTAAATGTTGAGATCGCTGTCTTGATGTAAAATCGTAATGGAGAAAAGGCACAGGTAGTTTTTACATCAAGGTTGCTACTTGTGGTCAACCCTATGATCTCTCCTCTCCACCTGGAGTTTACCTCCATGTAGCTACACAAAGGCAAGAAATATTTTTGTCTTGTCTCCACTAAGATTTTGCTTTGAGATGTTAAAATGGAACCTTTTATTTTTTTCAGTGAAGAGATAACCTCTGAATTCCAGTCCTCCACTCTCAAAAAGTGGAAATATGGGTTTCTAGCTATCTCTCAGCATTCTTAGTTGGTCAGCAAATCCATTAAGACTTTGTCCTTTTATACTTCTCACATGTAACTCCTTTAATTTCGCTTGATGATAGCTGATAATTTTTGCCCTGAAGCTTTAAGGACCTCTTCCTAGTGCAAGTAGGGACCAGTGGAGCACATGCTGTGAAATGCCGTGCATGCACTGTGCTGCAAGGAAGGACTGTTTTTTCCCTATTTCAGAAGTGAACACTAGTAAGGGCAAAAAGGTGAAGAGAACTGCAGAGAGGTGGGAATGGGAATAAAGTTCATCAGAAGTGTTGCTGTCTGAGTGGCAGTCTTAATCGCATGAAATAACCACTTTGCAGCCACTGCTTCCCATTAGTTATAATTACATTCTCTGGTGGGGTGCCTGCTCCTGTCAATAAATCCCTTTTCCCCACCATCCCCTTTGTTTATAATCATTCTTATCTCTTCTCTAACCTTGCTTCTGGTGGTCTTTGTCAGGAACCTAGTGACCAGCTTTCTCTGATCAAATTTACAGCCAAGATTTCCCTCCTCCATTCCTGTGCCCCGACAAGTATAAATGATCAGATCTTTCTCCTTTTGTCAGCTGTCATTAGAAAAAAATAGAATATCTATTCACAATGTAGTTGTACTTGATAACTGTGGAACTTACAAGTTAAGATATTAAATTCAGTTGCACCTGATATAAATTGAAAACAAAATAGGGGAGAAAAAAGTTGATGTTAGGTTTGATTGACAAATTTACATGTTTGGCTCAAAGCCATAAGTGATAACTACCCCCACCCCCCAAAAAAAGCTATTCCATTTTCTACTTTAAATTCCCTTCCCCTAATGACTGCCTGCGACTTGCTGGGGTGATAACCCAAAAGGATACTAGTCCATATCTTAAATTAGTAGTTATGCAATGCCAATACCTGTATTAAACTATTGGTTTCAAGTAGCCTAATTAGAAATCAGATTATGTAGGGGATGCAGTGTGGCCTCATGGATGGAGCATTGCACTAGGACATGTTAGTGGCTCTGCTACTGGTCTCCTGGGTGACCTCTCTGTGCCTCCATTTCCCCATCTGTAAAATGGAGATTGAGACTGATCTTTGAGAAGGGCTTTGAGATCTATGGATGAAAAATACTAAATAACAGCTAGGTGGTTATTAGGTTGATTTCTCTTTGTATACTGTGCATTGTTCTTCTGTAATGTCTAAAATGCTTCTTATTCCTATACCAACAGGAGCTTGTGAGCGGCTACAGGACAAAAATGTTTCACTTAAGGACTTGTGCTGCTAAATTGAGGCCGTTGACGGCCTCACAGACTGTTAAGACAATTTCTCAACACAAGCCGGCAGCACCACGGACGTTTCAACAAATCAGGTGCTACAGTGCACCTGTTGCTGCTGAGCCATTTTTGAGTGGGACTAGTTCGAACTATGTGGAGGAAATGTACTATGCTTGGCTGGAAAATCCCAAAAGTGTACATAAGGTAAGGAGGAGCACCTGCCCCAGGATATTGTTGCTTCATCGCCTCTGTGTGTGCATGTGTGTGAGAGCCAAATGGCATGTTCAGGTAAGTGCAAATGTCCAGAAGGAATGTGGCACGAAGAGCCTGTGAATCATGAATCATCAGTTCTACGTCTGCTTTTGTGAAAAGAATCAACAGCATTTAGCTGAACAGTAGCGAAACAATATGATTTGTCTTTGTTCTGGATTGAATCTGACAAGCCCAGAGCATTCCGTCAATATTGGATATTCCACTTCGGGAATCAAACATGGATATGAAGAGGAGGAGTTGCCTTTCTTGGGAATCCCCCCTTTTGCTGAGCTGCTGCTTTTCCTTTGATGAAATGTAGGGAGAGCAGGGAGGAGGGAATTGAGTTCAAATTCTGATCTTTGTCCATTCCACTATTAATATGTAATTGTGCTCGATGCTGCTGTATTTGTTTTATGTGTAAGTACACTGACTCTGCTTTAGAGTTGTTCTTATAACACCATTTGGATGGCAGAAATGTGGCTAAAAAATTCAGCCTGCCACTACAACCTGGTGATGGGACTGGTTCAAATCCCCCATTGTGGTGAGCAGTGATCTTTCTACCAGCCATTTCTTAACTTTCCCTCAAGCAACTAACTTAAGAAGCTAACTGTTATAAGGTTGAAAGGTGCAGAACTGTAGTGGACATTAGTCTACACAGAGTTTATATCGGGGAGCATGCCACCTCAAAATCTGTCACTAACGTACACGTAGCTTTGGGCTAATGGCCATCAGAATACAATCAAATTTTGGCCATGCTCCCTGTGTTAAATTATTATACACTGAAACTTGTAGCCCTATTAGAAGGCCATATTCAACCATATATAAATGTGTGCAACTCTATTTGGCATAAGTGTCACTTAAATCCCTCTTCAGCAGGCCTGAATTTGGACTGCAGAATGCTGTCAGTTGGATGGTAATTGCTAGGAGCCATTATCAAGGGAAGTATCACTGGGAAGTCTGTGGAGTAATTGGGAGAAGCTAATAATAGACATTGAAGTAAGGCAGCTGTTGCTGTACACTGTGTAGTCTTACAGTTTTATAAAATGTGAAATTAAAAACACTGCCACTAGGAAGGAATGGTTGGTGGGGCTAGGAGGTAATCTTCTGCCTCATGTGTAAGGAAAGTCTGCTTTGCCTTCTCATCTGTGGCCAAGCTCTGGAGAGTCAGTTAACTGAGACCTAGAAGTGTGTGTGGAGAACTGAAGTTCTGAAAGCCTACTGCATGTCCCTCTTAATCTGGCATATGTAGCGAGATTTCTCTTCTGAGTAATTCAGATCTGCTAGTGTCATGGGAATTTATAAAGATTGCACTGAGAGATCTACATGTCCCTTGAGATACAAAGCAACAGAACAGGATTTCAGTTCCTGTTCAGTGAACTATAATGAACACCAGAACAAACATCCCACAAACCAAAACTCACTCATTTATTCCCCTTTTCATAAATGTTGCGCTTTTGATAGCAAATCTGCCCTCAACAGATATGCATGTCAATATTAAATACCTGTGAAATTTCGGTAGTGGTCTCATACAGCCAGAATACATAGCTCTATCTATCTCTGGGATGGTATTTGGCCAAAAGGCTTTCGGATGGGAGGAAAGCCAAATTTTGGTCTCCCTCTTAAATAAACAAGGGTTGTTTTTTTTTGTTTGTTAAACAATGGGCGTTTTTCCTAGGATTGTGGGGGTGGGGCACCTAAATACACAACTGCTCCCAGTCAAGGCCTTCTGTGTTTAATTATTGACGCAGAGAGCACTTAACTCTGAAAGAACAAAACTACATCATTTTGGATTATGTGCCATTTGGCACAGCAGTAATTTAAGAAGAAAGTTGTGTATTTTTCATGCAGTTCTTCTGTTATGTGGAATAAATTATTTTAAAAGGTGGCATATAGAACTTCTAAACTGCTACACATGCATCTTAATCTTATAATCTAATTTATAGTAAAGTGAGTAGGCGTCCTAACACTCATCCTTTTGATACATATGACTACACCCCTTAAAGAGCCCCACAACAGACTTCTTTAAAACGTGGTGGATTTGCCAGTCCACGGACCCTACTTAACACATCCTTCAAGGGATGTTCAATGCAAAACACTGACCTGGTAATAAACTGAGAGCAATCTGTTGCAAGTGTCCTGTGAGTAACTTCAGGGCATGTTGGGCTTTTCAAAAATCTCATCGGCCCTCCCCCCCGCCCCTTTTTTTTTTTAAATATATATACACACTAAAGCAGGCTGTGTGCTGGCTGTGACCCTAAAATAAGAGTTACGTTTTTTCTTTATATAGACACATCGATACAGCTTAAGGTCAGATGAGACCGTTAGGTCCTCTGGTCTTACCTCCTGCACACTACATGCCATGGAATATCATCACAATTTCTTGTGACTAGGCTTCTGTGTAAGCCAGAACGCTATCCAAGGTGTATAGTTCTTGTTAACATAAGCAAAAACCCTTAACCCTGAGAAATGCAGGTAACTGGCACTAGATACATTCCAGAAACATTTTCCAAGAAGTATTTGTAAAGTGTAAGAATACTTAATACTCTCTGAACTTCTAACGCTGTCATCCTTTGTTTGATGTTTCACATACTGCAGGAGAAGAAGACTTCTAAAATAATCAGCTGATTTTAAAGCCGCCCTCCTAGAACTGTGTAAGCCACCAGCAGCTAAAATATACACAAGTTCTTGCTGTCTTGTGATCTTGCTCCAGGAGCAACCTTGTGTGCAAGGTTAGGGCTTATGGGTGGTAATTAAAAACCTGGTGCCTCTTTTCTACAGATACAACAGTTGAGCCACAAGTGGTAGAAAACTGGAAGTCAGCAGCTGAATTGTGCCTGCTGTTAGCCATGGAAACAGAGGTCAGGTCAGCTGAAATAACCTTCATATCCTGCTTTTCTAAACAACTTCATATTTATGTAGTTCCCTCTGGCCCCTGTTTCCATGGCTAGGCTGCTGGTAACTGGCAAGCAGCCATACCTGAGAGCGAACTTGCTTGTAGATGTCAACTGCTAACTCTTTAATGTAATCTCCATATTGACACTTCTAAAATCCATAGTTGGTTTCTGGAGCCTTTTGGTAACATAAAACCCTGGTCCTCAAATCAGAGAAATTGATCAAGATGTTATTTGGATGGGCAAACTGGTTACATAGCTGCACAGCTTGGTTAACCGTGTGATTTAAAATCTTTGCTAGCCAGCCAGGCCACTGTTTTTATAGTAATTGCCTTCTAATGGAGTGGAGGGATGAGTACAAGAGTTGGGAGTCTGCAGTCCTAGGTTCTAATCCCGGGGTCGGCAGCCTTTTAGAAGTGGTGTGCCGAGTCTTCATTTATTCACTTTAATTCAAGGTTTTGCGTGCCAGTAATACATTTTAACGTTTTTTAGGAGGTCTCTCTCTATATAATATATAACTAAACTATTGTCATATGTAAACAAAATTTTCAAAATGTTTAAGAAGCTTCATTTAAAATTAAATTAAAATGCTGATCTTATGCCACCGGCCCGCTCAGCCCGTTGCTGGCCTGGGGTTCCGTTCACCTAGGCCGGCAGCGGGCTGAGCGGGGCCTGTGGCCGGGACCCTGGCTGGCAAGGGACAGGCAGCCAGAACCCCGGGCAGGCAGCCAGAACCCCAGACTGGCAGCGGGCTGAGCCGCTCAGTCCGCTGCCGGTCTGGGGTTCCATCTGCCGGCTCCTGCCAGCTTCTGCCAGCCAGGGTCCCGGCTGCTGGCCCAGAATCCCGGCCCTGTCCACACTGAGTAAGTACCTACCTTCTCCCTGGTTCTAGCCATTCTCTTACCCTCTCTGCACTGAGATGAGGGTGGGAGTGTGCTGAGAACAGGGCTGGGGGTGAAGGAGCAGGCTGGGGGTTGGGGTGCAGGGTCTGGCCAGGAGCTAGAATGAGGGAGGGGGCTCAGGGTTGGGGCAGGAGGTTTGGGTGTGGAGCGCTTACCTGGGCAGCTCCCATTTGGTGCAAGGGGTGCAGGTGGGAATGTGGGGGGGGCGGGGTGCAGGAGCTCCCGATTGGTGCTCAGGGTGGGAGTGGGGATGTGGGGGTGCAAGAGTCAGGGCATGAGGGGGCTGGGTATGTGTGTGGGGGTGCAGGAGTCAGGGCAGGGAGCTGAGGGTGTGTGAGGAGGGTGCAGGAGTCAGGGCAGGGGGTTGGGGGGCTGGGTATGTGTGGGGGTGCCGGAGTCAGGGCTGGGGTGGGGGGGTGCAGGGGTGAGGGCAGAGGGCTGGGGTATGTGGGGGGGGGTGCAGGGGTCAGGGCAGATGACTGGGGGTGTGGGCTGGAGTCGTGGGTGTGTTCCCAGCCCCCTACCCTGAGCATCTCACAGCAGGGGGCTGGAGGGGATGTGCCCTGATTCCACCCCCTTCCCCAAGGTCCCGGAGCAGGGAGCGTGCTGCGGCTCCCGCTTTTACCTCTCCCACCCCTGGCAAGGGCTGTCAGCTCATCCGCAGCAGGGAGAGAGGGGAGGAGGGACAGGAACCCAGCACGCTGGGGGAAGAGGCGGAGGGAGGGGGAAGCTTGCCTGCCCTGCAAGGAGAGAGCGGTGGGCAAGGGGTGGAAAAGAGCGGGCCGGGCAGGATTTTTAGTGGCACACTACTGTCTGCCCGGGTCCAGCAGACAGCAGCGTGCCATTAAAAATTGGCTCATGTGCCGTGTTTGGCACGTGGGCCATAGGTTGCCGACCTCTGTTCTAATCGCAGCACTGCAACTGATTTGCAGTGTGGTGTTGGACAAATCACTTTTCCCTCTGTGTTAAATGTGACTTCTTCAGAGATGTGAGGATTAATGTTTGTAAGGCACTTTGAATATTAACGTAGGTGTTCAAGTGTTATAAGCGTAATTTTAGAAAGCAGACGAATAAGCAAGACCATGCAGGTACAGTGCGGAGTAAAGACTCAACATGCACGTGGTGTTTAGAACAGTGGATAGGTTATAATTTAGTTCTT